TGGAAAGGGTCTCACTGCCTATGGCCGGTGATCATCATGTCAAAAATTGACAAGTTGTGTAATGCTGATTGCCTCCAGGCTGGCTCTATGTTGCAGATTCATCCTTAAGGGGGAGAACTGGGATGGTCCAAAACATGTGCAGGAAATAAATGCAGCAGCAGTTTCCGTGCAGAAGGGCTCGGTGCTTGAGCTGGTTCCCTTGTGTGCCGAGTAGCGCAGATGTCCCTGCAGTGCCTCTCTCTTTGTGCCTCCCAGCACAGAGCAGAGGAGGTAGGACCATGTGTCATTTGTAACTCCCTGTAGGACACAGCTGTGAGGTACTCTCGGTGGCCCTGAACAGGATGTTGCTGGGGGATTTGTGGGCATGTCTGGAAGCAGAGGCTCAGCTGCCAGCCTACCTGCTTTGCAGAAGCTGTTTGCATAAGCAATCCAGAGCCCTGAGGATGCCTGGCAGCTGAGGCAGGCTCCTGAGGACCTACTTTTTAGCAACTGCTGACACATAAATGGCATTTAAGTGGCTTTATGAGCCCCAGCAAACATTTCAAGTTATTGAGGTCTGAGGCTAGTAAGGTTTTCAAAGAATCTTAAATGAGATTTAAGCCAATACTAAGAAATCCCAAGAGCTGCCAAAATATTTTGAATATAAGTTATCTTGGATTCTTTTAAAAATATCACCTTAGTGCAAATTGTTATTAGCAACAAAGAAATAATTTTATGAGCCTATTGTAAATTGCACGTATTTGTTTGTTCTCTGTAAGAGCAAAAACTCTGAGGAAAAAAAATGTTTTTCTGCTTCACACACAACTCTGAGGCTGAAGTGGGTGCAAGATATCCATTTGAGTCTAATTACCCAACTAGGTTGAGCACAGCCAGTCCAACAAAAACCCAGCTGTAGTTTTTAATTGCCTTAAATGAGCTCCTAAATAACTATGTGGAGTTAAACCACAGCACAGAGAGCACAATATAAGTGCATAGAAACCCTGAACACCCAGGGCTCTAGAGTGCTCAATTAAATTTTCCTTGATTATTCAATACAACAGAAGTGTGCAAATTAAAGGCTTTCATGCTACAGCAGGCTACGACCTCATTCTCAAGTTTCAATATTGCAATGTAACTTAATTAAGATATTCCCCATACAAAGCATAACCCTAGAGGTAACTTTTGTTCCAAATACCTCATATAGGTATCTCTCCTGCTGTTAAGTGAATGGCTCCTGGTGAAGCAAAATAAATATTATTCTGGCATAGACTCACTTTTTTGTATGCACTGAGGACAGAGAAAGAAACAGTATGAAATCATTAAAACATTTAAATCACCATGCTGAAATACAGTTGCTAAAAGACCTCATTCTTATTCAGACTGTAAAGTGCCTTAAAATAATTTGTGAAGAACCCACACTAATTCCTGATTCTGTGATAGATGCTTAGTTTGAATAGGCACAAATTGTGTGGAAACTTGCAAATGTAAAATTTTTTCCCCATTTAGGTCACTGGTACAAAACCAGTAAAATCAAAGACCAGCTTCATCTCAGGATGTTTGTTGGTTCATATGGTGTCACAAAGTGTTGGGGTTTTTAATGACTGTGAAGTACACTGGAGTTACTGCAATAAAGGCCTTTTAAATTCAATGAGGCATTAATTATATGGACAGAACGCCAAACACATGGGAAATGGTCACGTGAATATGCTGGTTTTGTCCTTTATACTTAGTTTAGAACCACTATAATGTATTAATCACTCAAATTGCATTATTAAAATGGAAATCTTAGACAACAGAGTAATTTAATTTCAGTACCAAGTTGCACCTCACAACAAAAATCTTTTTCTACAATTGGAACAATTTGTGCCCATTCTAAATGTTTAAATTAAGTGCCAAATTACATTGCTAATAATGTTGAAAACAGTATACAGTTGCTTTGCTTTGAAAAGATTTTTTTCTCCAAACAGTTATTAGTGAATTCAATTATTGAAAGCAAAAATACATCTTAATTTTATTATGCAGTTTGTTTGACCACATTTGTCTAAGCAGACTGAGAAAGCCATGCCACTTTAAAGTTTTACCTCAGTTATTAGACAAATTTATCTGTTGCTTTATATTATTCACACCTTTCTCTGACATTTCCCTTTCTTCCATTATCTTATCATTGTCTTCTATCTTCCATTCAAAAGGTGACATTAGAAGCTGATTAGAAGCTGGTTTGATACCATTTTTTGACTCTGCATCAGTCAGTTCTGCTTTTTTTTCAGAATGAAACTTTCAATCCCATTTCAGGAAATTAAAAAACAAGAGTTCAACATAGACACAAGAATAATTTCCTTTGTCCCAATATTTTCTTCTATGTAGAATGTAAGACTAAATCACCCCTGAGGCATCTAAAAGCTGTGCTTTGTAATCTCTGAATTTTAGGCACATAAGAACTGTATTAGATCTTAGTAACAACACTGAAGACAGAAATATCATTTCAGCAGGCTAAGACTCAATATGGATATTTTACTTCTGACCATGTCTGCTCTAGTATATTTTCTAAAATTATTAGTATTTTTGGCCTTCAAATTAACTCATCTATGACAAATTATAATTGCATAAAAATAAAAAATTGCATAATATATAATTAAAGATATAAATTAAAAATTAAAATATAAATAATAATATAAATAATATAAATATATAAATATATATAATTGCATAATAAAATAAATAAATAAATGACAAATTCAGATACGATTTGCTGACAATTCTTTTAAGTTTGTGAATAACATTATGAACAATGTGAAAATGATATACTTTTAGCCAGCTCACAGAAAACTCAAGAAATGGTTGTGATCCCACCTGGAGCATTTCTTTGGAGCAACCCAACGGACTCAACAGCCGATGTCTGTAGTTTTTCACTTAATATTTGGGTGTTAGGTCATGTTATCACAGAAGAGCACAGGCCTTTTCTCAGACAGTGTAATCTTGCCACTCAGTTCTCATGCTTTTTAAAAGCCAACTAGGCAGTGACACTGAAGGCAGAGGGGAGTTAGATTAGAAAAAGGGGGGGAAAAAAAGGAAGATAATTTTGCATCAAGTACAGATAAGTTTGAGGTAAATATTTCATTTCATGTGTATTTTTCATCATTATATTTCACATATTTTTGAAAGTGGGTTTTGACATATCTCTGTGATGTATAATACATTATCTACAGTATAACTTCTGGATATAGACATAAATCTAAAGAAGTGGGAAATCTTTCTCTTCAGCTTGCTGTCAGATTCTTTGGTGGTAGGGTATTCAATCAAGAATATAGAAAATGCCTCTTCACTCAAGCTGTGTGTGAAATGACATTTGCAAAAATAAAAAGCTAAATTTAAAAAATCTAACCTTATTCTGTTGTATGTTTGCATGCGCATAATGCCAGCATTGGTCATTAGAATATCTCTCTAAAATTACCCTGATAAAAATGTGAATCATTCTTATGAATTTAGTGCTGTGAATTGCTAGATTGCAAATATAATTCTTCTAAATATTTCACAAATTGGATATAAATATTAAATAAATAATGTAAAATACCTGGTCATTAAAATGTCTTCTGGAAAGTAAGACGAATATTTAGTGAAATATTTTATCATTAGGACATGCTAGGATCAGAAACAATGAGGGAGGAAAGCACATTCATTAAGTCAACAGATGTTTCTCCAAAATTATTTTTTTGTTTGTTTCCTTCATCATCTGATGTTTTTTTTAGAAATTGTAGTTGAGAAGAATTATTTAATGTTCAGTAAGTCTACCAAATAACTATGCAATAGCCAACTAACTGATGTTTAAAACCAGTGCACAATTATTTTTATTGCGCAGTTCTATAGTATTATGAAGCTGCCGATGAAAGTATTATCACTAGCTTCCAATTTTTTTATGAGTTAGCAGTAGTGCAGTATTTTCAGGGAAGCAAATGAAAATCAAGCATTATTTGTTAAAATAGAACTAATATGGAAGTACTATTAAGGAACACCTGTTCTCTTACCATTTTCAGCTGCCCCAGTTACAATGATCATCCTTTTTAATTGCTAAACACCTGTCTTTTATTATATTTGATAGCAATTCTAAATTTCATTTAATTTCCAGTCTCTCTTATCTGATTTTTGAAATGTTTTACTTCTAAAATGCCCATTTACATAGTTTATTACCTTAATTCTTCTATTTAATCTTGAGAACCCTAACAATGATTATGGGATTAATTGTGCAGGGAAGTAATATTTCTCCCTTTTAGTATAAACTAGATACCTCCTCTCCAGTCTCTCTGGAAAAAAGAAAGGAGAGGGAAAGGGAAAGAAATCTGGTATTCTGAATGAAGTTATTTGACAAGACTGCTTCTCTAATGTAAATAATTGCTCTTCGGTATGTGTGGGGAAAAAAAAAAGCTGGTAAGTTACTTCCTCAAAACCACCAATATCTAGATCTTCCTTACTTATACATGGAATCAGGATCATGGAAAGTGTAACACTGATTGACATAGTCATTATTACAATCATAGAATTGTTTGAGTTGGAAGAGGATATTTTAAATGCCATCTAATCCACACACTCTTGTACTTGAAGGGGCCATGCTGTCTGCCTGGAGTTACCTCCCTGTTCTCCATTTGCCTTAGCACAGCTTCTAAGGGGATCTGTTCCATGATCTTTCCAGACACAGAGGTGAGGCTGACAGGGCAGCAGTTCCCAAGGTGCTCCTTTCTATTGCAGTCCGCAGGATCTCGTCCAGGGAAGCCGCAGGGTTCTGGGGACCAGCATGGAACACCAACAAGATGGGCCTTTGTTCCTGAAACCATTTATTCAGCATGGGAAAAACTCAGATCCACAACAGAGCACCCTGAACAAAGGCAGGGCAGGGTTTTTTGAGGGACAGAACTCTTGAGGGTCTCCACCCTTGTGGGTGGAGTTCAGGGTCAGGGACCATTAGAAACACAGCAAGGGAGAAACCCCCCAGGGACTCAAACTCAATCAGAACTCCTGGGCTGCCCCTCACAAGGGGTTTGGGGTGGGGTAACTTCATCCAGGGCTCACACTGCCAATTCCCCAACACAGGGGGTCAAAATTCACACACTTGGCTTACTATAAACTATGCCTTTCCTTTAACAATGCTTATCTGAAACTAACTCTTTGTCTCCTTGAGGCATCTTACAACACCTCTCTACCCTTTTTAAGGATGGGTCTTGCCCGTCCCAGATACCTGACACAGGAAATCTTTCAGTTACCAGGTACAGTGTGTCTAGGGGAAGAAGTTATTCTTCTAATCTCATTATTATTATATGCTCTGAAGAATGAAAATTAATTTCTATTTTATAACTCCTATTTGTTTATTATTTTTTTTTAAATGGAGTTTGGTACTGTAATAAGATTGTCTCTATGGGGTGTGTGTACATCCACATATTTATGTATGGGAGAATTCTACAGAAACTACAGTAGCAGGGCTTTTAATTTTGTATCAGTAGCCATGCAATTATTAAATGTGAAAATTCTCACATCAATATTTCTCAAACTAAAAAAGGTTAAGTATTTAATATCTTTATTTAATATCTCTATTCTGGTGAAAGACTGTTGGTCTCCCGTTATCATTTTCATGACTGTTGAAATTTAAGGCATACAGTGAGAAAGGCTCATGGGCTACAATTGCAAACATGCTGCTTTTAGTGCTGTGTGCTTTCTATGTCCTTATTGATATCTCTGACATTCATGCATGTGAGCAACCTGCATAAAACAATTATGCATTTCTATAGTTGTTGGAGTTTTTAGATCCCAAAGTGTTTTATTGAAGGATGGCAGAATTTCCATATTATGCATGCTAAAGGTAAGCTAAAGGAATGTCAGCATTTTTACTCTCTCAGCTAAGACAAACGGAAAAACTGGCAGAAGAGTTGCCTCTCAAAGCTGAATCATTTGCAGTTCTCATTGCAATTCTGAGTCTTCCAGTGTCAGATCTAGGCATAAACATAGAAAACACTGAGAGCAGCAAATTCTAGGAATGGCCTGGGTGAGCCTATGTCAAGCTACTTGGACACACATCTGTGCCACCCCACAATGGGTACTTTAGAGCTGCACCTGTAGTTATAAGCCATGTAGTTATAACATGTAGTTATAAGCCATAGATCACACAGGGCCCTGCTCCTGGACCTGTAGCATACAGAGGTGCTCAGGTGTAGACATAGAATTACAGTGAAATCAGGAATCCACCTACTTAAGTTCAGTATCATGACTGACTTTATTCTACTTCCCTACATTTCCAAATGAATACACAGAGTGTTTGTGCCATTTCTGCCACAGACAATCTGTCTTTGAGCTCCACATTTTCTTCATTGCTGCTATTATTTTTGTTCAGTTACAGATTTAGTTAATCAAGCCCAAATCCAAATGCTGAGCTTCATTAGTTGAAAGTTCAGTCTCAGTGTTTCCAATAAAAAGCTTGACATCAACTCTAATGATCTTCAGAAGTGTTTAATTTCTTCCAGAGGTACATCTTTCCTCTTTTTCTGTCCTTTTGTTTCAGATGTTAATGACAACTTCATTATTAATTACAAGGAAATCAGAAGTCTTTAATGTGATGGTTATGCAAGGCAGTTTGAGATTTTTTTATCAGAGCTAACATTGGCGAATCTTAGCTTTAATAGCCTGTGAGTGCCTCCAGAAATACTTTGATTTGTTTCTCTCTTTCTTTTTGTGGCTTGTATCTAACTGCCAGTGGTCTGAATGAGAGCTCTCCAGAGATAGGTATTGCTAGAGCCAGATGACTTATTCTCTTTATCACTCTGCTTCTCTAAAACAGGGTGTGACAAATTTAGATTTTCAGATGTTTTCACTTTTTTAGATATTGAAAGATGATTACTATGTGGTTCAACACTTCAGTTTGCCAAGTGCTTACTCATTTGAGCATACTAATGAACTTGTAAAGAACACTAAATTAATCTGTTTCGATGAACAAATTGCTGAATAAGCCTACAACATACTGAATATTATGTCAGTCATCTTACCTTGTGGGATGTGGGGTTTTGTTCTGAAAAAATTAATTGACCATCTTTAGAAATGCCTAAAGACATAAGTAGGAATATTCGGTTATTTTAAAAATGTCAATAAATCATATTAGATTTTTTGATAATTTCTATCAACCTAGTTCTATTTAATTAAGAACTTGTGGAATTTTATAGTTGATTCTTTCCAGGAAGAAGAGAAGGGGAAGAGTGAGAGGGGGAATTAGGAGGAGAGATGAGTAGGAGGTGGGAAATGGAATAACAAAAAATTCCTCTTGATGCATTTTCTCACTCCTACTTCTGACTAATAGCATTTGGCTTTGAAAAAGTATACTTTGAAAAAGTGCACAATATTAACTGTGATTAATGCTCACCAGTAGGTCTACCTAACTTTTTTGGGACTGAAAAAATGGAGAAATTGGGTGAAAAATTGATGCTGTTGATAAGTGTACCTGTGACTTAGAAGTGTGCTATAGCAGGTTGGCTTAAGATAATTGAGAAATTAATTTTACCCTCTGCTGTGTTCTATGTAAAAAGGCTTCCAAAAGCTTGCTACCTGCTGTCTTTTAACACGGTAATTATGTCTGGGCAGGCTTTTTTCTGCTGTTAATCTATGCCTTGAAAACCTGATGCCGGTATGTAAATACTAAATCTTCAAACAGGGAGTCTGATAATTTAACCATTTCACCTGGGGAAAGACTGTGAAAGGTAGTACTTACTTCACCATATAAGAATGTTGTGTCTATTTTTACATAATAAGGTAGCAGCTAACTAAAGGCCACTTCTTCCTGATCTTAGATTTGACCCTGCATTTCTCCAGGTTGCACATGATTTTCCACTCCTAAAGGTTGTGGCACAAATGTCTTCAGAAGGAACAGGCAATAAACTGTCTCTGTTTTGTTATGAAGAAATTGTATAATTTTTTCTATGAAATATTTAAATGTATATTGGTGTAGGGTCTTTAGTTTAGCCTAATAGGACAAGACTGTGACAAATTCTCTGCTAGCTTTCTACTGATTGGAAAGCTCCAGGCATGCAGAACATAGCATGGGAGCTTGACACTGGATAGATCTCAGAGCAGCTGTCTCTAATTCATAGAGAAAACTGCTGTGAAAAATATTTTTTTCTTCGTTTTCCAGACAAACTATGTTGTAAGTTGTTGTGGGTAATGAAAACAGTGGTGAGTGTTATATTGTCAGGGTTTTAAACATCCTTGGACTGAAAATATCCTTTTATGAATATTATAACCTTCATGCAGCCTAAAATCATTGTCATTATTTTGATTTAGTCAAATTGTATTGGGTTTGCATGGCCATGGTTTGGTAGTGGGAGGGTTACAGGGCTGTAAGAAATTGCCAGAAGGTTCCTCAGTGTCCAGCAGAGCCAGTCCCTGGTGGCTCTAAAGATGGACCCACTGCTGGCCAAGGATGGGCCACTTAGAAATGGTGGTAATGCCCCTGTGGTATCAAAACAGAAAGCAGGAGATAGTTCTAATTGCAGTCAGAGAAGGGTGGGGTGAGAACTTGTGACGGGAACAGCTCTGCAGACACCAAGGTCAGTGCAGAAGGAGGGCAGACACCAAGGTCAGTGCAGAAGGAGGGCAGGAGGTGCTCCAGGTGCCAGAGCTGAGATTCCCCTGCAGCCCGTGGTGCAGCCCATGGTGAGGCAGCTGTGCCCCTGCAGCCCATGGAGGTGCAAGGGATGCAGAGATCCATCTGCAGCCTGTGGAGGTGCCTGTGCTGAAGCTGGGAGATGCCTGGAGGAGGCTGTGACCCCGTGGGTGACCTGTGGAGAGAGGGGCCCTGCTCCCAGGCTGGAGCAGCCTGCCCTTGGAGGACTGCACCCAGTGGAAGAATGACCCACGTGGTAGCAGTTTTGGGAGGACTGTTGCCTATGGGTTAGACCCATATTCTGCAGGCTGCCCAGAGCTGCTGCTAGTGAGATGGAGCCACATCAGAGAAGTTAATGGAGAACTGTCTCCCGTGGGAGGGACCTCATGGTGCAGCAGGGGAATGACTCTATCTGAACAGTGGGAGAAGCCTTGGGTGATGAACTGACCGTAATCCCACTCCCTGTGTCCTTGCACCTCTGGGGTGGGAGGTAAAGCTGGGAAGGAGAGATGGGTGGGAGTAAGGTGTTTTTTAAGGGCTTATTTTACTCCTCATTATTCTTCTCTGGTTTTTTAAGTAAGAAATTCCCTTCATATCTCTAAGCTGAGGCTGTTTTGCCCATGATGGTATTTGATGGGTGACGTCTCTCTGTCCTTATCTCAACCCATGAACCCTTTGTTAAATTTCCTCTCCTCTGTCCAGATACAGAGAGGAGTCAATGAAAGACTTTTGTGGGTGCCTGACATCTGGCCAGCATCAATCCATGACACAAATTTACAGTGTTTAAAACAGCAAGAAGAAGGATGCCATAAGGTCAGTAGAAAATGGGAATTGGAATCCATTGCAACTGTTCTCATTATCCAAATGATGTGTACCTATCAATATCATATAACCCATACCAAACCATAAAACAGCTTATGATCCAGAAATGGAAGTGGAGATCCTACAGTTCTGCATGTGTAGCCTGTCTGGGAGCCTCCTAGGCTCTGCTCTGCTGGCAAGGCAGTGAATGGTGTACTCAGGTATGCAGCACCTTCTCTTCATCAAGGACAAACAGTGGATTTTTCCTCGGTTTGTGAACTAAAGTAAAAACTGGCCTTCACTGGGCACATCTGGGTTGGCCTCAGCACTGGAATTTCAGAATTTTCTGATCCCTTTATTAATAGTCTTTTAAATGTTAAGAAATATACCATGAGGCATACATACTCTTGCATTGTATTGCAAGGGCAGGTAGTTGTTCCAGTTGACAATAGCTCATTTGTGTATTACAAGAAGGAGTGGGGAAAGATTGAACTAAAACCCACTCTTTTTGCCTAGATCCTTTATATCTTGAGATCCAATAAAGTCACCTAGAAAATCATAAAAAGCTGTTTCTCTGATTTTTCTAAAAATATTATTCAGTACTTACCTACTCTTAAGAAGAAATTAGTAGTCCTGTTTACACAAGGATAATATGCTGAAACAAATATATGAAAAGGTGTGGGTAGTCATTAATTTAAATGCCAGCAACATTTTCTTAAAGCTCCAAGTAGTCTTTCTTGTCTTTAGAATGCCTTATAAAGTGTATAACTAACTTCAGAAGTTTCAAGTTGAATTGCCCTATAGGGATAATGATAACATTAAAATCTCACAGAGTGGCCCTCTCCAAAAATCAGCTCTTTACCGTTATTGTGCCGTTTTTATATTATTGTGCCAACTCGTTTCTCACTTACTCTTTGGAGACTCTGTAAAATGGTTATATTAGAAATGAATAAAATCAAACTCCAGAAACACAATACCAAAGCCCTGAAAGCACTTGAATAATATGAAAAATGACTCATTAAGTAAAGATACGGTAAAGACAGTTATTGCTCGATGGAGTGTAATTCAGTAGAAGAGAATTAAATTATATTTAAATTACAATTTACAAAAAGTTTCCTTTTATTTTACATGTGAACTATAGTTTTAGAGTAGAAAATTGTAGAGTTTGATAAGGAAAAGGTTTAATGAGTAATTAAATATATTATGAATATTTTTTAATAGAAGTTGGATGCTCTCTCTTTTCATTTGCTTTAAATACATGTTATATTCTGTCAGGAATGCACTGTATAGGTCCACAGAGACTTCTTTGATCCTCTGTTTGGGAAATGGTTGCCACATGGAATTTTTGTTATTTCTTTGCTGTTGAAGTAGTATTTTTGCAGCAATGTTTATTTGATGAAATTCAAGTGGTAGCCAGGGGAGGCTGATTACACGACAGAAAGTTCCCTCCTTGTTCTTACCTGTTCAAGATTAAAATCTTTGCTTCAAACAATCTTTTTTAAATAAATATGTATTTATTATTATATATTACTGTCTTTGTAAAAGTAATAGATAAAAATCTTGTCTTATACAGCCTTGGGGGTGTTAAACTAGAGCGAGTTGAAGAAAGACTGCTTCATCATTGTCTTGTTGCTTATGAAGTCATTTGCATGAGTGCAACGGAGGCAGAAAATGCTACTGTTTTATTATGAGTAATACAGAGAAATAAATAGGTGCAGCTGCAGCTCTGCTGTTAATGTTAGGGAATTGTGCTTCTCCATAACCACTATTATATTGTGTAAGTAGAAGCTTGTATATTGAGTTGATATCAGTCATATTATCTGAGTTATTCTGCTCTTGATTTATAATTTGCAAGTAGTGCAGAATCAGCCTTAAGGCATCAACACAACATAGGATCATAGATTTGAAAGAGTTAGAAGTTTAACTACTTAAAGAACAAAAGTTTTTTATTCTTGTAGATAAGTAAAATTTATTCAATGAAGGTGGTAACATGAGGAAAATCAATATTTTTCAGATAAGTATATAAATTCTTGTACTTTAATATTCTTTTAAAATGAATGATTAGTTTTTTTATGGGTTATTAAAAACTGACAGAAAAAAACAGGTGATGCTCTATTGATAAGATTTCTATATGTATATAATTAAGCTGTAATTTATTCATGACTCCCTAGAAGAAGTACTGGAGACCTTGTGATAGTTCTCTGACAGCATCAACTCAGTTGATGATAACAGTGCTCAATAGGTCAAAATGCAGTGCAATATTAGGAAATGTTAGACCTATTAAGAAAGGAAATGATTTTGCTATGGTGTATCCACTACATAAAATGTATATATATGTTTTATATATCTATATATATACACACATAAAAAAAAACATAATCAACAACATCTTGATTAATGTATGCAGTAAAGTCCAGAGGATTTAAGTAGGACAAGAAAGGCCCACAAGATAATTATGGAAGAATAGAAACATAAGGCAGTGTGGGCCAAGATATGGAAGAGTTTCAGAGAGAAGGAGCTTTGTAGATAAACTCTTTTTAGTGAAAAGAAATTCAATTTTTTCAATAATTTTTTTAGTGAAAAGAAATTCAACCAATGTAACAATTGCACTGTAAATTTTAAAACATCAGGAAGTTTGGGGTTTTTTTTCTTTACAGAGACAGCACATTAAGTTGTAGGGCTCATCTGGAAATGTTGTAGGCATTCTGGTAATCAAAAGTGTGTGTTAGGTCAAATAATAGTGCTGAACAAAATCATCTATCAAGCACAGTGTTCTGGAGTCAAGATGTGAACCTGGAAATCCTAAACCAGAGGGCTTCTAGAATTTGGGAAGATGTGCCTGTGGAACATTTTCATACATATTTCCCCTTAACATCTGCTACTGGCCAATCTTGTGAAGATGATAGGATAGAAGGATGCAATGACTGCTTCTTTAGTGCTAAATAAAAGATGGTAAGAAACCTTCCTTTGGTCTTAAGGCCAAGTATTACATCTTGGCTGAAACCAAACCTCACTTGGCTTTGGATTTCTTCTGGGCTTAATGCTATGCTTTTTTTGTTCTTTGAAAACAGTCATAATTTTATAGGAGGGTTTTTTTTTTTGTTTTCCTTTTTGTTTTTTATTTCAAAGTGTCTGAAACAACATGAGGGCAGTTCACTGGGTTGGTAAATTCATAGTACAAGTCTGAGAATATCTTTTGCAAGGTCTGGGATGTGTCACAAGGGTCAGCAGGGACGCTTCAGGCTCTGCAAGCCTTGTTGAGATGCAGTGTGTGAAGGGAACCAAGTCTGATGCAGTCTAATCCAGACCACGTATTAGGAATGGCAGATGGCATGTGGTGTGCCCTGAACTCTGTCTAGGCACTGCCCCAGGGGATGCTACTTGGCAGGGTTTAAACCTGACCTCTGTAGTTAAGAGTTAAGCAGTTCAGGTGATGGAAGCACCACTGCTCAAGCTTCTTGCCTTGAGTGTTTTTGTTTAGCAGTATTTCAGATGCACAGACTGATGCCTTCCCAGTGAGGTTGTAACACAGTGTCTGTTTGAATTTCTGGGAAAGGTAACTTGAAAATATGATGTGTTTATGTTTTATCCAAAGGGAAATCCTGGCATAAGTTTTTATGGTGGGGTCAAACATGGTTGAATATTATATTATTCATAAAGACATGTTTATTCTTTGAAGCTGTTTCAAGTTAGGGTAAGCTAACCACAAAGTTCCTTATCCCTAGGTTTTTAAATCCCAGTTTGAAGTGCCCCCTAGCACCTTCTTTGCTTCTTCTGTAGAATATATTACTTTTATTAGTCTGCTGTCCCAAAAAAACCCTTGAAAAATGATTTAATATGCTCTCTCCGTTTTGTGTCCTGAAGATGTGTCATGTACAGGCTGGACTACCTTACAGTTTGCCTAAAATATATGAAAACAGAAATTGTGTGCAACTTGTCAGTGACTTTCACTATGGTCTATATTTCTATTTTAGTGTGTTTTTAACAGTTATTTTATTCAGTAGAAGAGAGATTTCAGTCAACAGATAAAATGAAATTTCATGTAGAACAAGGATTTTACCAGGACAAAGAACTGAGAAGTTTATCAGTGTATGTAAGTGCAGCTGAATTGTTTATCTGAACTAGCAGAAAAAATACCTATCCTGGAATATGATTGAGGCAGTTAAAAAACAAGGGCAGAGTAAAGTAGGATTTTGGAGCTTTCCCAAAAATTAGTTGGAAAATAATTATTTTTATTTGGTTGAGAGCCTTAAAACACTTTCTGGATGCTGAATGTAGCTGGAGGGACACCAGAGATGGCAATGAATATATGAAGAAAGGGATGCTCTCCTCTCCAAAGCCAGCTGAGGCTCCTTGGCTCATGAAGAGGCCTGCCCTTCTCAAACAAGATGTCACTTGTGACAGTAGCAGGTCTTGTGCCTTGAATGTCTTGAGAGTCAGGAGTTGCCTAGGAGCCAGATTTTCTACCCTTGCATTACAAGAAAGGTGGGCTGCAAAAGATGCAGAAGTTTCAGACTGCAGAAACACCTGTGGAGGGTAAACCAGAACGCTGACCCAAATTTTCACTTGTGCCAGGCAGCAGCAGTGAACACGAAAAAGATGAACAAACATTAGAACCTGCAGAAAGAAGAAAAACTAGAAAGAGACTTTTTTACAAGGTAGAAAAATGATGGATGTATACATTGAAAAAAACCCAATCCAGTAGCTGAAAAACAAACAAATGAACTCCCGATGTTAAAATTTAATCCAGGAGACTTCTTATCTCATTTCATTTTGAAGAGCTTAGCTCCAAGTGCAAGTGTTAGAGGGAAGAGCAGTACACAAAACAGTACCTCTGGCTTCTCAACAATGTGTAGTCTCTGTGGCAGCTCCTTTGAAATCCCTCAGTTCGCCCCATGAAAAGACTATTGCATTGTTCTTGGAGCACATTAGTTGTCTGCAGGCTCCATCTCAGCTATTCTTTGAATTCAGCAAGGCACTGAAGTGCTACTCCAGGCTTTTGCCTGGTGGTT